AAAGGGCTTAGTCAGCATTTTATTAAAATAAATTGTAATTATAAATGGGCCTCCCATTCCTTTTCTGGGAGTGTGGTAAGAGGCGACTAAGGAAACTTAATAGTTGAAGGGTCGACAGCAGTATCCCTCTTAAAACATCACCAAAGCCTAACTGCGGTTTCTAACCCGCCTGCTAAACTTGGCAACTGTCAATTTTTGAATTTTGCCAGTAGTTGCCACACTTGGCAGGCGGATTGGCAACCGCAGTTAGGCTTTAGGGATGTTTGAAGAGGGACGCTGCTGTCCATCCTCGCCCTCCTCTAGTTGCCTCTTACGATATCAACGGGAAAGGAAGGGGTGCCCCACTCTATGCCGGGACCACACGAACCTACATATATATACAGTCATAAATACATACTTGGCCATACACACACATACACACAAATAAATAAATATATGTTCATAATGATAGATTTTTTGTATTTTTAATTTTTAATTAATTATAAAATAGATTTTTTTTTTATGCAACTTAGAATGGCAAACAAGCTAACGGGCCACCTAATGGAAAGTGGTAACCGTCGCCTATAGACATGAGCAGTACCATGGACATAACAGTACACACACATACTGTTTCACCCATGATACCCCCCATGCGTTGCTATTCCTGAGAACTCAGGTGTTATTTCTCTGTACCCTGTAAATTCACGCCATATCCCACCCTTCAAACCGAAACACAGCCATGCAAACACAACCGCTTCACTGTAGAAACACGAATGGGACAGAGGTCCCCAAGCAATCGACTTTTGTACAAAGTCTCCCTCTACACGAATGGGACAGAGGTACAATTTACAGACAGAATTTGTACAGTACAGTACAGAATTTGACAACTCTGTGTATTACCATAACAAAATAACGGCGATAAAGTTAAGTCCACTTGTGGATAAATCGCTAGAAATATTTTCTATTAATAATTTCCAAGACACACCATATTTAGAGCGAGTTTACGCGGCGTGAAATTACAATAGTGACAGACAAACAGACAGCTCCCGATGCGAGCAGATGATTGATCGGTCGATGTGCACCGTCAAACAACACAATTGGAAATGTATTTATCTATACTTATAATAAATCTGTAGAGAGGTCAATTCTGTACATGAAATATATTTCCAAAATAACTATCAGGCGGTGATCTGTACTGATCGATACTGATGCCAAAAATGCAATCAGTAAAATTTTTGTCTGTCTGTCTGTATGTTCGTTATAGAAACAAAAACTACTCGACGGATTTTAACGAAACTTGGTACAATTATTCTTCATACTCCTGGGCAGGTTATAGTATACTTTTCATCACGCTACGATCAATAGGAGCAGAGTAGTAAAGGAAAATATTGTGAAAACGGGAGAAATTACGCCATTTTTAAGCTTCCGTCGCGTGTGCATTAATGGCCACTTTTTAAAATGTAAAAATGTCCACCCGTGCGACGCCGGGACGGGCGGCTAGTCGTCCATAAATTGCATATACTCAGTGAAACTATCATCATCATCATTTCAGCCATTACATGTCCACTGCTGGACATAGGCCTCCCCTATAATGTACTATATTATACATTATATTTTATTTACTAGAGGGAGACTTTGTACAAAAGTCGATTGCTTGGGTACCTCTGCCCCATTCGTGTTTCAACCGTGAAGCAGTTGTGTTTGCATGGCTGCGTTTCGGTTTGAAGGGTGGGATATGGCGTGTATTTACAGGGTACAGAGGCATAACACCCCGAATCCTCAGGAATGGCAACGCATGGGAGATATCATGGGCAAAACAGTATACTCTGTTATGTCCACGGTACCGCTCATGTCTCTAGGCGACGGTTACCACTTTCCATCAGGTGGGCCGTCAGCTTGTTTGCCATTCTAAGTTGTATAAAAAAAAAAAAAAAAAAACTTTGACTCTGGGGTGTAGTGATGTAGCCAGTTTCATCCATTGTCACAAATCTGGCCAAAAAATTTTTCCAAACAGCCGCGAGAAATCGTGAGCCGTATTGGTTTTTGTTCAACTGAAAGCAATCTGGGTACCCACCGCGCAGAAACCTTAGAAAATCCAAGTTCATTGACTATGGTGTTTTGTGTTCGTTCATACGAGATGCCAATAGTGTCTGCAATCTCCCTGATGATCAATCTCCGATCTGCCAATATCAGATCACAGATTTTCCCGATGTTTTCTTCAGTCGTAGACGTCGTAGGCCGGCCGGAGCGAGGGTCATCTTCAATACTCTCTCGTCCTTTAAATTCTACAGCCCACTTTTTCACAGTCGTATATGCCGGAGCAGAATCCCCCAATGTTGTTGACATATCTTTGTGAATCTCTTTTGTAGTTAGTTTTTTTTTAAAGAGATATTTGATGACCGCACGTTGCTCAATTTTCTCCACAAAATTAAGTCTAATTTAAAAACAGATAATGCTATTGGGATAGAATTTTACTATGTGACAACCAGAGAGTAAGCAAATCGAATGAGGTCAGTTACATTTAAATAGTTCAAGTATTTATGTGTTAGGCCGCGAATATTTCGATCTACCCTCGTACTCGTTGTGTTTGCATGGCTGTGTTTCGGTTTGAAGGGTGGGATATGGCGTGAATTTACTGGGTACAGAGGAATAACACCTGAGTCCTCAGGAATGGCAACGCATGGGGGGTATCATGGACGAAACAGTATACTCTGTTATGTCCATGGTACTGCTCATGTCTATAGGCGACGGTTACCACTTTCCATCAGGTGGGCCGTCAGCTTGTTTGCCATTCTAAGTTGTGTAGAAAAATTAAAAAAAAACTATGGTTATGTGTGGGTGTGTATGTGTATATATTCAATTCTAGACAATTGTATCATGGGAACAGGCTACAATCGCGTGTTCATTTCTATTACGGTTTAGTATCAAGATAAATAATATTTTTTTAACCGACTTCAAAAAAAGAAGGTCTCAATTCATTTGTATTTTTTTATGTTTATTACCCCATAACTTCGTCAGTTCTAAACCGATTTGGAAAATTCTTAGTTTATCTGAAAGTATTTATTTACAGTTTTTTCTCATACAAATTTTATCAAAGTCGATACAGTTGTTTAGTTTTGAAATCCAAATAATTAATGTTAACACAATTGAAGTCGATTATTTGTTTGACACAATCGTTAATTATTTAATTTCTACATTTATTTATTTATTTATTCATTAAAAATAATTACAACATTATAACAGCAAAAGCCAAATCAATGTTATAAATCTAGTGTGCTAACATACAAAATTATAATAAATGTCTCTAACCCGACTCTAGACATTTCTGAGTCGCTTCTATTATCTTTGGCAGGCTACTACTAAATATTTGTCTTCTTCAAATCTTTGTCAAACTTTGTATTTATTCTTCCTAATGATACGACATATTATTATAGAATTATACTAAGAATTAACATCTAAGTGATATAAATATCAAGAATAAGTAATTAAAAAAATATTTAAAGATAAAAAAATTATTTTGAAATCACTGCCAGCTGGTAGGGTGCCTAGGATACTTGCTGCATTTCCACGCTGAATAGCAATGGAAATGCGTCGACCAAAGTATAGGCCAGCCTTCTGGTTACCAGAGGTTTCCACCAGCCGGCGTGAAGTCTCTTTGAAAAGACTCATGAACTCTGCTAAAAGCCAACATTGTCGGCCTCTTCATTATTCTCCATCATTTCACACATGCCATGCCCACAGAATGCCTTTAGGATAATTCTGAGCTACCTAAGTCTCTGCAAGATATTTAAGATCATCCCTCCATCTAGTAAGGGTAGCTTTGAAAAGGAAAGAACTATTAGTTAAGGTACTGTTGGCCCTGTTGCTAAAAATATACCCTGCAAGATCGACCTCCACGCGATCCCCCTTGGACAACATTCAGAAATTATTAAATTTCTAACGATGCACCAACCCCAAACAGGTCGACCTCCTCGCGGTTCCCCCTGGAAACTATCATGGTTAATTCCTGATGAATTCATCATGATGGGTTAACTGGCCTGTTTTCATTCTCATCTATCACCCTTCACTGGTGCTCCGCCAGCGTATCCCGTTACCGCAGGCAGGGTTACTATACTATTTTCACCCATCAAAAAAAAAAAAAAAAAACGATGCGCCAACTGACTTGCTTTCATTATTACCTTTTTTATCTCTCACTGGTCTTTCTTTCTCCAAAATTATTTGACCAGATTTTTTTTTTAAGTTTCATTGATTCGCTTGTATAACTAAACTACTATCATATAAAATGCACACAGAACCGCAACCCGTGAGCACAGCTCACGCATGGCCAAGTTTATCTAACAGTTCATCTGGAACATACGAGTATCGATCATATCAGGAGACTGCATTACAGAACAATTAGTCGAAATATTTCTTTTCGAGATTTATAACCGTTTCATTACACACTGGAAATGTTTTACTTCGTGATAATAAATACTTGAATCAGATTTGCATAGCGACGGTTCCGTATTAAGGAAAAAAAAAACATCTGACATGTTTTCATGAACATTCTCACAAGTAGACTAGTTTTTTTTTTTGGCTTCTCACCCTTTTTCTGTAAATATTAATTGTTATTGTATGAAGTTATAGATCTATTTTTATAATTAGTTTTCATTAATTATGACTGTATGCTTCTAAATTTAATAAATAAAATAAAAAAAAGAAAATATCCCGTCTAACAGAATAATTTGTTGTCGTCAATACGTCACGATGAGCCAATTGACCTAACTTCAGCTTCACTGTGAAGTACATAAAAATATCTGTGCTAAACCATTGTTATATATATATATATATATATATATATATATATATATATATATATATATATATATATATATATATATATTTTAGCATCAGAAGTGGAAAATAATTAAAAAAAAGAAGACGGTAGCAACACAAATGATTTAATACTTATTATTACAAAATTATAACAATTTTATAAAAATATTTAAATAATAAATCGAACAAATCACCAATCTTAAGTAATTAAAATAATAATAAACCGATTACAGCAAAACACGTCACACACACAGTCTGCGCTCCTCGAGAGTTGGCGAACGAAAAAGACCAATGCTATGAACTACCCGGTTTTTATAGGCTTGGCTCCCCACTCCTTGCCCCACTCTTTGTTTTAGTAGTCTTAATATCTAACACGGCCTATCCTGACGTAGAGTCGTCCTCGACTCTAGCATCTTCGTCAGTGCTCGATGATAGACACAGGTCTTCCTCTAAGACGTTCTGTGGCGTGCAGGTGCTTCCTTGTGATCCCGATGGTCCTGCTATAGGATCACTATCATCAGAGTTATCTGAAACATATATGAATCATACACACAAAAGCTCGCGTCTTTATCACATTCATTCGTCTATCTTTCACTCGTTATTTAAGGTAGGAAAATTAATTCACTTTCATATTTCAATCATAAAAGGTCTGGGTTATAAAGAGCTCAACTTGGGGACATAGTGGTAAGTTCTTCTCTTCTCTGGGCTGTTCGAAGTCCAAACTGGCAGAGTTGCTACATCTGTGAACAAATCAGGCAAAGGGCGTCCCCAGTACCTGCATCAGCAGAGGCATCACTGAATCGCTTGCTGATACCCGTAAAATCTTTACACACCATTGTAAAGCTTTACGTCACCAGTCAGACAGAGGCATCACTGAATCGCTTGCTCTGACCGGTCCGGGATGGAGGCATCACTGAATCGCACATCCCAATGTACCGTGTACATTTGACTTAGAAGACACACCATGTGAGTCTAACAGGTTACCAACCAGCACAATGTTTATAACTCAGCCAGCCACTGTGTATGAGTGTAGTGAAACAGGGAGGTTATTTTAATGGGTTAGTATTAGTCAGTGGAGGTCGAGCTTGATATGTGTGTATGATGTAATTTTGTGACTGCCTAAGATACAAACATGTACATACAAAATAGTAACGTCAACTTACTTGCAAAAAATGAGGCGCACGTTTCGGGACACCATTCCCCGTGCCACTGAACCATGTATTCTGCTGCCGCTTGTGTAGTCTTCCCGTATGACCCACTCAACAATTTCAACTCATAGCGGCCACTAGGCAAAATCCTGGTGACTTTGTACGGTCCTCGCATTCCTGGGTCCAACTTACCCGTTGATTGCGAGTATTTAATGACAAACACTAAGTCATTGACTTTAAAAATACGAGGTGCACACCGATTTCGATTAACATAATTATTTTGACATTCCCGATTTTTCTCCAATAATTCGTTGGCCCTCGCCCTTCGAATTTCGCGCCAACTTTCCCTATTACATAAAGATCCTTCCACTGCTACGTCTCGTACCAGTAAACGGATAAGTGGCGTCGTTGCTTCGGTGCCAACAAGCAGGTTCAGAGCTGACGTCTGTGTCGTCTTTTGTTTTGTAATATTCAAGATGAGTTGAAGCCGCCATAGCTGATCTGACCATGACGCCACCTTATGGTTGGCTTCGATTCTAATCATGTTAAGTACGGTCCGCACGTACCGTTCTATCTGACCGTTAGAGTGGTGCATCTCAGGTGTTATATAATGTATTGAACAACCGAGTTCGGAGATGAACTTAGTAAAAATGGACGATTCAAACATTCGCCCACGGTCTGTTACTAATAATCTTGGTACACCGAATAATGATATAGCATTAGTGAGTATACGTACAAGTTCGCCTGCGTCTTGCCTATGTATTGCATATAACATACAAAACTTTGTAAAAGCATCTACTATTAGCAACACAAATCTATAACCGTTGGACTCGGGCAATGGTCCTAAAGCGTCTAAGTGCAAAGTATCAAAAGGGGTGTCTGGCTTTTTCCATGAAGTTATTAGCTGGTGTGGAGCCCTGGGTACGCGTTTTTTGGATAAACATACTAAACAATGTATAACGTATTTGTTAACAAATTGTCGTAATCCAGGGAACCAAAAATGTTTAAGTATTAAATCTAGAGTTTTGTCCGCGCCTATATGTTCGTGTTCGTCATGAAAAACAAACAAGAAAGAAAAACAAACTTAACCGATGCCCCTTTGGTATAAAACAAAGTAGTCTCGGTTCATCGCCTACTGGAGAATAGCGATAATAAAGCAAGCCATTTTGATGTATATAGCGTCGAGAATCTAATTCCCATCTTGCAATTTTTGAATCAAACTTTGAGTCTCATCATCGGCGGACTGAGCAATCTCAGCCCAATTACGTGGTTTGGAAATAAAATTAATTTCAGTGACTGTTGGATTATGACTCAAGTAATCAGCGTGCGACATCATTTCACCCTTGCGGTATTCGATATCGAAGGTGAAGTCTTGAAGATAAACCCACCACCTAGCAACACGGGGAAACAGATCCTTTTTCTTCTCGGTGGCCTTGAGAGCATTGCAATCGGTGACAATTTTGAATTTTATACCAATTAAATAATGTCGAAAATGCTGCAACGCCCTCACGACTGCCAAAGTTTCTAATTCATACGAATGATATCTACTCTCCGCGCCCTGTGTTTTCTTACTGTAATATGCTACTACGCGTTTCTTGCCATCGGTTCCTGACTGCATTAATATTGCGCCATAACCGATGCTGCTTGCCGTCGTATGAACTTCCGTTGAAGAGAGGGTTGCATAATATGGGTTCACTGGTTAGACAAGTTATGATTTCCTGACGCGCACGTTCTTGCTCCGGTGTCCAACAGAAGTCAATATTTTTCTTAGTTAGGCATGATATGCAAGCGGTTTTGGTTGCATAATTTTTTATGTAACGTCTAAAATAACCTGACAAGCCTAAGAACTGCCTAACCTGTTTAACGTTTGCGGGAGCCGGTGCGTTCACCAATGCTTCCACCTTACTGGGGCTCGGCCTAACCTGACCTTGGCTCACCATACGTCCTAGGTATTCTACTTGCATCGAGAGAAAGGTACATTTCCGTAAATTAATAGAAAAGCCCGCATTTGTCAGAGTTGTTAACACGTCTCTCAACAGGTTAATACCTTCTTCGACTGTGTGACTCATCAGTAAGACGTCATCTACGTAAACTAACACATTACCAGCCTCAATATGTTTGCGAAGAGTTTCGTTAATGATACGTTGGTATACAATCGGAGAGTTAGTCAATCCGTAGGGCATCTTCAAATATTCAAAATGACCCTCTGGAGTGACAAATGCCGTTCGGTGTATAGACTCCTCATCTATTTGGATTTGATGAAAGCCAGTAGCCATATCTAAACTCGAAAAATATTTAAAGTTACCTAATCGATCTATATGGTCGTCAATGAGAGGCATAGAATAACGGTCTCTAACAGTTACTCGATTTAATGCTCGGAAGTCAACGCACATTCGATCGCTGCCATCTTTCTTTTTCACAAGAAGAATGGGGCTAGCATATTCTGAATTTGAATCGCGAATGATACCTTTTTCTTTTAAATCATGTACTATTTCACGAACTTTGAGTTTCTCTTGATGTGGTAATCTATACGGTCTATAAGCTATAGGAGTGTCATCCTTAACGACAATACTCATTTTGCCTGTAGTAACAGTTGTTGAAGCTGTACCAGATATCAAATAATTTGAAAAGTCATTAATCACTAACATGAGCAAATTGCGATCATCACCTTGAAGAGGTGTATTGAGTGGGTCTTTTGTATTGGGGACTACCGTATTTACTTGCTGTTGTGTCATAGGTGAACGCGTTAAATATTGTTTATCTTTAGACCTAACATAAGTGACACCATCGCGATTAAGTATATCCGTACCTATTATCAAAGGAAAATGCGATCATGACTCTGGAACGACTACATAATCCGCTTCAAGAGTAATTTCATCAAATTCGATAGTCAACGTTACATAAGAATTGGCATGAATTACTGTTGCACTGATTCCCTTTAACGCACAATTAATAGGTTTTAATTCACATGAAAGATATTTTACTACCGGATGATATAAGCGAAATATTCAAGGCGCCACTATCAATGAGTGCGTCAACGGGAATACCCTGTATTACCGCTGTTACTACGTCTTTGCTTCGAGAGGGATCCGTTAATAAAAGGGTAGTGCATAAATTTACGTTTCGTTTATTACGCATGTTCGATCTTTCTTTCGCGAAACAATTTTCCTGCCTGATTCCGGTTTCTTACAAAAGTCACATTTTGTTGTTTTGTATTCCGAAG